ACATTATGTACTGTCACTCAGTTGAGACAGTATGGTGAGTGTGAGGAACTGTAAATAGGACATAAAGCATGGTTTTGGGAACTTTGGAAGAGTGGTGAGAGCCAACGAGAGACTGAAGCACAAACGGCTTTAACAGCCACGCTCAAGCTTCTACACTTTACCCGGTATGTAGATCCAACCTGGCTATGCAGTATCCTCTAGAAAAATTTCTTCCATCCAACATCCACTGAGTCAGAATCTTTTTTTTTTTTTGTCCTTTTTTGAGACCGGCCGCACCGTGCTCAGCCAGTGAGCGCACCGGCCATCCCCATATAGGATCCAAACCCGCGGTGGGAGCACTGCTGCGCTCCCAGTGCCACACTCTCCCAAGTGTGCCACGGGCTCGGCCCTTTTTTTTTTTTAAAGATGACCGGTAAGGGGATCTTAACCCTTCACCTGGTGTTGTCAGCACCACGCTCACCCAGTGAGCCAACTGGCCATCCCTATATGGGATCTGAACCCATGGCCTTGGTGTTATCAGCACTGCACTCTCCTGAGTGAGCCACAGGCCAGCCCTTAAGTGATTCATTTTCAAAAATGACTTATCCTGGGGCCGAGCCCGTGGTGCACTCGGGAGAGTGTGGCGCTGGGAGCACAGCAGCGCTCCCGCCGCGGTTCGGATCCTATATAGGGATGGCTGGTGCACTCACTGGCTGAGCGCGGGGTGCGGGGTGGCCGGTCTCAAAAAGGACAAAAACAAACAAACAAACAAACAAACAAAACAAAAATGACTTATCCGAGGGTGTTTTAACTGATTCAAGCCCAGCCCAAAAGTTGTCTGACTGGTCCAGCCCATTCCTGGAAGGTCTCTGAACAGATAGAGCTCTCCTTGAGATGGTAATTAGTTACTAGCCCCCATTGTTTTCTTCATTCCCTGGTGTTTCTCCTTTCACAGGGCCTAAGCAGGCCTTTTTCACAGGCTCATCTTGAGCCCCTAAGAGAAAGGAATTCCTTGCAAGGGGCTAATAAATTTTAGGTGTCCAGGAAGATTGTGCATCCTGTAGTACTCAGCCAATGAGGAAGTGGGGGAGGGACTTGTGTACTAGGGAATAAATTGCTTGCTACAGCCCTTTTCTGTGTGCCTGTCCCATTCACAGACACTTGGACTTGCAAGGCCGTAACTAAAGTCTCACTTCGCTGTACCTTGTGTCTTCATGTCTATTCTTTGGCATTGGATGGCTGAGGGCATTTCTCACAATGGGGAAACCACTTGGCAGGGAGTGACATGGTCACCATTGGTCAGGTTTGAGCCAGAAAGCTCACTCTGGCCCTGCTCTTGTGGAGAAAGTTGCAGGTGGCTGAGACTGGGCAAGGAGCCATTTGGGGGTTGTTGAAAAAAGCCCAGTAAGATTCAGAAGTGAAGGGGCTGGCCCGGTGGCGCACTGGAGAGTGCGCCACTCGGGAGCGCGGCGGCACTCCCGCCGAGGGTTCGGATCCCATGTGGAGACCAGTTCCTGCTCACTGGCTGAGCGTGGTGCGGGCAGAACACCGAGGGTTGCGATCCCGTTACCGGTCAGTAAAAAAGACAAAAAGGAAAAAAAAAAAAAAGATTTTGGGCCGGCCCGGTGGCGCACTGCTACAGTGCGCCGCTTGGGAAGTGCGGCGGCGCTCCCGCCGAGGGTTCGGATCCCACATACAGACCGGCCACTCACTGGCTGAGCAAGGTGCGGGCGCGACACCGAGGGTTGCCATCCTGTTGCTGGTCCCGGTCCGGTGCGGGCGCGACACTGAGGGTTGCGATCCGTTGCTGGTCACGAAAAAAGACAAAAAGGAAAAAATAAAATAAAATAAAAAAAAAAAGATTCAGAAGTGAAGGGAGGCATGGGCCGAGCCCGTGGCACACTCGGGAGAGTGCAGCGCTGGGAGTGCAGTGGTGCTTCCGCCACGGGTTTGGATCCTATATAGGGGATGGCCGGTGTGCTCACTGGCTGAGCACAGTGCGGCCGGTCTCAAAAAGGACAAAAAAAAAAAAAAAAAGAAATGAAGGGAGGCAGAAACTATGGAGTTGCAGAGGAGGGGGTGGCTTGGAGAGATATTTCAAGAGAAGAAACTCCAGCATTTTGTGACCCCCTAGGTGGACTTGGATGTGAGGGGAGAAGGGAACTATGTGGTGATTCCTGAGTTTCTTTTTTTTTTTTTTTTGGCATCTGGCCTGTTTGGGGATCTGAACCCTTGACCTTGGTGTTGTCAGCACCACATTCTCCCAAGTGAGCTAACTGGCTGGCCTCCCGAGTTTCTAGCTTAGGTGATTGGGGGTGCAGGCTGAGGCCATCAAGCTGAGTAGGGGAGGCAGGAAGAGAAGCGGCTGTGAGTGGAAAGGTGACCAGCTCCATGTGGACGTGCTGGGTTTAGGTGCCCTTGGACTTGCAGGTGGAGGCTTCCAGCACAGTAGTCTATAGTTCAGCAGAGGGCAAGATCTGGGAGCCCTTGAGGTAAAAGTGGGGGGACATGCCATGAATATGGGTGATGCCCTGGTGAGTGTGTGGGGTGAGCAGGGCAGAAGGGTGAGATTGGAGCCCTGAGGACTGGCAAAATCTACAGGATAGACAGTGGAAGAGGAGAGATCTGCA